AGGGAGTGTCAGACTCTTACTGACTAAAAACCACCCCGTTCCTTCTCCTGCACGTCGAGTCGGAGCCCCAGTTACCCGTTAGGTTCTCCGCGACTCCGAATCGGCATCGACCCTATTGGGCCCCATCTGTGGTGGTCTGATGGCTCTTTGAGGCGCGCTCGGAACGCGACGCACCGTACGCTCGGGTCTGTTTCTGGTCGGACGGGGAGTCACCCATGCTCGCCGTCCGCAGGCCCGCGCCTGTTGTTGTTGCCCTAGTCTAGGATATTCTCCTGTGTCGTGCGTGTGTTTACAAACATACAAGTTCACATGCACATGACACCCAGACCCGGAACAACAATCTGTGGATCACACAAGGAGTAGGTTCGTGCGGGAATCAAAGCCACGACACGTTGCTCAGCAATCGCACTAACCGTGCAGTCTCATGGTGTTTGATTTTGGTTTAATGTTCGTATCAAGTAGTGTTTGTTGCAGGGATTACGAAGTTTCTTGTTTCACTGAGTCTTTTAACATTATGTTTGTTTGTTAAAAAAATAGAAATAGTTTTTATGCCGTTCTTGAATCAATAACTTTACATACATAGCTTCACGCCTGTCTCCCATGGAGGTAGGCAGAGACTATGGAACGCCAATTGCTAAGATTCTTGATGAAAGAGGAATGTACCTCTTTCACTTTATCAACAGCCATCAGTTTTTTAATGCATGCTCGTCGGTTAAGGGTACTTTTAATCTGGCTCTTCTTTTAATATATCTCCAATCCGGATAGTATGTATCTAGGGCGCCCTACACCTATTCATATCTGCATACTGTATACTTCTTTTGGTAGTCTAGTTTCATTCAACCTTTCTATATGTCCAGTCTATTGATTGAAGAAAGTTATTACTTATTTACAGATAACTAACTGTTCTATTACATAATTATTACTTTACCTAGCCCTATTACAAGGGCTAAGTAAGCATGGTACAGACTTCGAAAAAGGGACATTTTTATTACATTTCAAAAACACAGAATTGAATGCCAGCCAGTATGCACAATAAAATTTCCATGACGGATTGTAGGAAAAATAACGATTATATAATATTATACCCTAATTATAAAATTTAAACTAACAACATAACTCAACTTTAACACTTAATTAAATTTCACACAAAACAACACAGGAACATAATTGCAATATTACAAGAGAATTCATTAATGGGTGTTTGCTTACATTTTCAATTAAAGTGCACTAGTGCGCGCCCCGCCTCCGCCCACGTATGAATGTGGAGTACCACATGTAATTACTTGTAATCTTTTTCTGTAATATAGTTCTAAATATCTAATAAGAAATTTTCTTATATGTAGTTTCATTTCATCGTTGATATTTGTATATTAACTATAGACTGGATTGCATTAGACAATTTTAATTGTATCATAACTTTCGGGACACATACTAAATTTTAATTATGTTTTTCGGCGTACTCACGTAATTATTTGACGAGAATCTCGACTAGTTTCAAGCTAGGCTCGAGGCTCATATTCGTGAACAGTATTTCGTGACCCGTGACGCGGCGACTGCCGAGCTGCCCCGACTTCCTCGAGTCGAGTTCCTAGTCAAAAAATAACGTGAGTAAGCTGAAAAATATAATACTTAATGCTCCAGTTCATAGTCATTTTACGAGTAGGTTTAGCCAAGCTTTTAAAATACGCTTTTGGAAAATAATCATTTGATCATATTTATATGTATGATTGGAGGTAAGCCCTTTTGGTATAAAATATAAAAAACGTACTTATAGGTTCGTATCGATTACCAACGTCTGTAGACAACCTTACCACACTATTCTGACGAAATAATTCAACAGATTTTTACCGCCATCGATTTTTTTAAGTCTAAAATAGAAACAAAAAACAATCTTGAATGTTCCTTTACCTAAGCGAAGAATCTAGTTGACCCTTATCTTAAAACTTTTCTTTTATCAATTACATATACTTTATACATTATATACCACATTATACTTGTATTTATTTAATTTAACTAGCCGCCACAGTTATCCAGTGGTTTTTACTGCAGTCTATTTTAATGGCTAACATTTTATTGAGATATAAAAGTTATTTAAGTTATACTCTTATTTTAATAGTGGTTTGAGATCGAGAGGTATAGGGGAAGTAATATTTTAAAGGTTATTGTGCTGATAATCGTATGAACTTTACCTGTATTAGATAAATAATAGCTTGTGTGCTATTAAGGGATGGTCCGATGGTGGACCTTCCGATTATCACTTGTAATAATTTATCACAGTAAACAATGCTTGCGTTATGTTTTTTCATTTGAGTGTGGTTACTGGAGGCCCAATTACCCCCCTCCCCAGTCTCCCCAATCCTCGAATACCCCATAATCCTCAAATTCCTAATCCACAAAATGCCAGTAACGAACTTGTAATGCCTTTGGTGTTTTAGGTGTCCATAGGGGGCGCCAATTGCTTACTAGCAGGTGATCCGTCTACTCGTTTACCGGTTTACCGCAAAAAAAACATATCAGGTGATTCATTTCACCTGATATCTTGGACTAGGAATAATCAAACTTTGTAACTATGGAAGCCATAGGTTTCTAAAAATCTTTATAAAATCCACGCTATGTTACTGACTAATGCTCTTGCAAGCTAAAGTCTACTTAAATACCAACCAGAAAGTCAACGAGGTAAAGCAAATCTCGTTGCATTCTAGAGACATAAAATCTTTTCAGAAAACACCACATACCGTGATCCTCAATCGCTAAAAACGAATTAGGTTCCAGTACTACATTTTTCAAGTCTATCTCAAATTCAAAACTTTGTAAGATTCCATAATGTTACAAAGCTTAGCTCAAATCAATTAACACCAGTGATCTTCTAAATTATAACCAAGTAATCAACCTAACCTTTAAAATTTACTAAGAAAAACCAGATACTTTAGAGGAACGAAAAGATGATTACAGTAATTTGCTACTACTGACAGATTACATGTTTTTGAGCCCTTTTTTATAGCTAATGTGATCCATATATTTCCTAATTACTAAGTTAAAAAACTTAATATAAGTTCAAAGCTATATAAAAACAACAACTAGTAACATACAAAGGTCGGGGCATGTTCGCTACTGTGCGCGGCGCACAATCTAACCTCGACCGCAACACTGATTTGCGAAAATAAAACGACCGAGGATTACAGACGGCGCCGGGTAATGGAATAGTGTTGGGATTAGAGGAAAATTATCGATAAAATTGTGATGTGAAGTGTTTTATGTTCAGGGCAAGTAATCTATTATAGGTTTGTGAAGTGTACTATTAAACTAGGAGAATTAAAACAGACCTAGGAAGCAATAGTCGTTTTTGATATGGGACTTGGATTCTTCCTGTTAGGAAATAAAAAGTATAATAATAATTATATTTACGAGTTGACAATTTAACTAAAATAAAACATATGTTTTTAAAATAATTATCGTGAGTCATACTAAATTATCAAAAAATCGCGGCCAGTAGGCTGCGCGACATCGCCGCGACCGCCCCCGCTGCTCATGAGGAAGAACCCCTCTGTGGTTCGAAACTAGTAGAACTTTTCTCAGTATATTTACGTGAGTAACCCGCTATTTTTAGTTAAAATAAAATAGGCTTCAACTTAATACAAAATGTGTCCATCCCACGCAAATTACAATCGGTTAAGAATTAGACAAATAAGTTTTGACAACCTCTTAATTTTTTACCCATAGCCGCTAACCATTTACACATTTTCGATAATATTTTTACCGCATGTTATTTATGCTTAGTTTCGACTTGTGCCTCAAGGCATTGATTATAAATCTGTTTAATCCAAATGAGTTTAAACGTGAGATATTTTTAGTAGTCAATGCTAGCCTCATTGTTCTTTGGCTACCGAGCGAATATGCAGCCTTTGGTTCGATTACTGGGATGGTTGTACTGACCAAAGTGTTGTTGGGTATTGATAGTTTTCCTATAATTCTAAATAATAGAATGGAGTCAGAAATTAGCTTACAATGAGACTTTTGAACTTATGCCTCTTTTTATTTTTATATGCTAACAATTTGAAAACTTGTCTTCATAAAAACTTAAAGGTACTTTAGTTAATTCATGTTTATTTAAAATTGTAACTCAGCATGATATAATTCTCGCATTATAAAGGTCATCATCAAATCAAGTGCAGTACTAAATAATTTTATGACGAGCAAACTATATAATAATATTAAATTTTATAATATTAATACTAGAAAAAACGGTTAACTTAGATTTTATGATAGATAATTCGAACATTAAGCTCTTATTACCAGCTCCTAGTTCTTAATGGGGTTAGTAAAGGCTTATTATAAGCTTTAATTAAATAAGAAGTGTAATATGAGGGTATTAATATTATATTTTGCGTATTACTCGAAACATTCCGTGTCAACGGTAAAGTCAAAGCATAATGAAATCCAATTAACCCTCATACTTTTTCATAGTTTTGAAATGTAAAAATGTAATTGTCAGGAAGGACAGTCTGTTCGCACAGAAAGTAAGATTCATAATGACAACTGACAAGAGGCTCAACATTATAATAATGAAGAAAATAAATGATTCTCTTATGAACTACGTTTAAAACAATCGACTTCAACCCCCTCTTTTTTTGAAGTAGGTAAATTAATATATACGTACTTAAATCTCCATCTAAATGTAATAAATACTTTTCGGAAAAACGCATCAAATCAGTTCAGACAATCGCGAGATAATTGTGCATACATACATACATACATACATACCCGACAAAATAAGAAACTCCTTCTTTTATTGAAGTCGGCTAATAAATCAAAAGTGTCCAAAGAACAGACAATATAAGTTTGATATTTAAATCGTAATTCGCAAAGATTTATTGATAGTCGATAAGTAATGCACGCTTGCACCCCATCACTAGAGTTCGGTATATTCCGCACAAAGTAATCATTTGTCTACTTGACTAAACTGAATTATATTATTATTTTTTTATTATTAAATAATGATGCCGGCTATAATTGAAGGTTGTCGGTGGAAGGCTTCTGTTCTAGCTACATTCATTGCACTGCGATTATTCGAATCATCTTTGTTAAGGGGAAGTAGACTATAACATGATGAATGGGTAGATCATAAAATTTATGAAACAGTTTGTTAATAAACTTTCTAAGGGCTTTTTTTCAATCATCAGTTAACTCGTAACTGTAGGATAAAATTATTGATACTTGACAGTTTTTAGTATAGATGAATAGTCAAATATTCAAAGTTATTCCTCAGTTAAATATTAACTGATAATTGTAAAATCGGCCTCTAATCTAAGTAAATAAATCAAATTGCTCTGATATATAAGATTTTCAGACATTGACTAAAATCGCGGGTTACTCACGTGAACATATTGAAAAAGCTCTACTAGTTTTACCACATAGGGGTTCTTCCTCATCAGCAGCTTTACTGTTAGTATGTTTACGTGAGTACTTCGTTTATTTTCAGATACCTTATTATTTTTTTTATGGAATAGTAGGCAAACGAGCACACGGATCACCTGATTGTAAGCGATCATCGCCGCCCATGGACACCCGCAATACCAGAGGAGTTACAGGTGCGTTGCCGGCCTTTTAACACGTTAAACACAATGGCAGTCACTGGTGACTGACATTAGCGGAGGATTTGCCTTCAACAGTTTTTTATTGACAGCCAATGCTTTATGCCTAAAGGAATACGCTCTTTTCTTGAAGGTTTGAAGGTCGTATCGGTTCGGAAATACCGCCGACCACAGATCATTCCACAGTTTTGTTGTGCGAGGCAGAAAGCATTGTGAACAGCGAACAGTTGTGGCCTGTCATTTCAATTACGGTAAAAAATCATAACAAAAAGGTATTTCTTAGGGTATTTCTTTCATTATACCTAATATAACATTAGAATTCATATCTTCCATTCACATTCGAAGCACAACCAGTAATTTGGTCTTGAGGATTGAATCCAGAAGCTTTTATAATGAATCAATGTAAAAAAAATCGGGCTTACGACGTAATTTTCACATACATTCCTATATTTTATAAAGGCTGTGAGCCTGCAATCGCAGAGGGTGCGGGAGAAAATCGTCTTGAGTCTTTAGCCTAAAAGAACCCAATGGGTAACCGGGGCTCCGGCTCGACGTGCAGGAGAAGGAACGGGGTGGTTTTTAGTCAGTAAGAGTCTGACCCTCCCTCTCGCCTCACCCAGGCGGGAGCAGTCATTCGATGGTTTTCCCCCCTTAAAAAAGCCTAAGTCTTGTTTCCTATAACAAGACTTAATCATATTAATAACGTCCTGTCATCTGTTCATCCAAAAAATAGTTTATTTGCACATAGTAATCGACTTCATAATTTAACAAATAGACAAGAAGACCAAGCTTCTCCTTAACTAATCGTTATTAGATTACATAGAGGATCGCGCAGTATCCGAGATGATACGGCGGGTTCGCACGATACTTATTAACACTAGCCCAGGGACCTGAGCATAATCCCAGTACCAGCTCTCATTCAATTAGACTGTAATTGAAAATATGTATAGGCATTGTAGAAAAAATACAGTTTATTAAAAGAAATTTAGTGGACAATATATTAAAGTTGTATATTATGTTAACATAACATAACATCACCCCTTTTATCTCCGAAGGGGTAGGTAGAGGTGCACGCAGAGGTAACACCTACTTTTCACCATTTATGTTATGAGTCCCATGTAATAGGGGGTGAGCCTATTGCCATATACCGGGCACATATCCAGAATACGTGCTACTACTGAGATTTTTTTTTAAAAACCCAGTAATAATAGTCAAGCTATATCATTTTAAGTTTATCCTTTGATTCATATATCTTCGTGAATTCGGTAATCCAAGCAATATTATTAACATTTCTTATTGTCATCACTATAATTGGTTAAAAATGGTATATAACAGTCACTTATCATAAACCCCACTTTAATAATCAGGCCAATCATGTGAGATGGAATGGCACCCTCTCGGAACCTTACAGGTTAGAATGTGGCGTAAGACAGGGAGGCCTAACGTCACCCAAGCTTTTTAATTTATATATGGATGACCTCATAGTCTCACTCAGCAGAGCCCGTGCTGGATGTAACGTTGGTGGGGTGAGTTTTAATAATATAAGTTATGCAGACGACATGGTTCTTTTGGGTCCATCGGCGGGAGCAATCACTCAGTTGCTTCAGATATGTGAGGAGTACGCTGCCGCACACGGCCTAAGTTACAATGTTAAGAAATGTGAGTACATGGTTTTTGGGGTTGGCGGCAAGTGTCGTGACATGGAGTTTGAAATAGCGCTGAATAAAATCCCAATAAAGCGAGTTAGCAGCTTTAAATATCTGGGACATTTTCTTGCTGACAACCTTAAAGATGACATGGATATTGAGAGGGAACGTAGGTCTCTGGCGGTAAGGTGTAATATGCTGGCACGTAGATTTTACCGCTGTACCGAACAAGTTAAAATTACACTATTTAAGGCGTATTGCCAAAATATGTACACGGGTGGTCTATGGGTCAACCATACCAAAAAATCGCTAGATGTCCTGCGCGTCCAGTACAATAACGCTTTCAGGATGTTGTTGAGATTGCCCCCCTATTGCAGTGCTTCGGAGATGTTCGCGAAAGCTCGTACTGACGGATTTCACGCAATACTGCGGAAAAAAACAGCGTCACTATTAAGAAGGTTGAGAGATAGTCAAAACAGCATCCTGAGAACCGTAGCTGAGAGTATACACTCTCCAATAATTAAAAGATGTGTACAAAGGGTGATTGGTACTAACAATAGTTTGTAAGTTTTTATGTAATACTAACATTCGATGGACTTTGTCTGAAATAAATGCCTTATTATTATTATTATTATTATTAATAAATTGACAGTATTTTTACTTTTGTAACGTAGATTTAGTAGGTATTATCAAGCATATTACAAATACTAGGTACAGACAAATACAATTTACCCTCTAGCTATCCCATAACATTCTTATCGAGGCTATTACTCTAATCCCATAGTCCACACTACAAAACACCATTTAATCTCATAAATAAAGCCTAGCACATAATATTAGGGAATTTAGCTGAACGACCCGAAAGACCTATTAAAAACAATAAGGGCTATAGTCCAGCGATGTGTAATGACTGATTTCAAATTGATTTAAGATTTCACAGGCTATTACTTTAGGCTGTGTGTAGGATGGAGTAAATGCGCTTATGTGCTGTAGGATAATGTGTTCCAATTTTGTAAGGTACTGTATCACCTCTTGGTTCTTTGCCGTTTTTTTCGTAATGTTTTGCTTGTTTTTGTGACATTTTTTTTAATGGGGGCAAATCATTGAATGACTTCTTCCGCCTGGGTGAGGCGGGAGAGAGTGTCCGGCTCTTACTGACTAAAAACCTTTGTGATATTTGAAGTCATATTATTAAGATTTGTAGGGTTAAGTAAAGATGCGTCTGTACAATGTGTCTTTCTACTGGTTGTGATGAGTCGCATGACTCGTGTAATTTGGGGTGAGATAACAGACTTCTCTGTGATGTCTGTTTTTTTATTTAAAAGTTTTGTAATAGATGCTGTAAAATGTTTTCATCGTTTCTCATTTCCTTTATTTTTTATTTTTAGCTATGATCGTCCTACTACAGGGCAAAGGCATCCCTACCCTCCATCCACTCCTCTCTATGTAAAGCTTTTTGCGGCCAATCCTTGTCATAGATGTCTAAATCATCCCGCCATTTCCTTTTGGACCTGCCGCGACGTCTATTGACGTTGAGTGCGTATAAAAATGCGTTGCTTTAGTGCGTATAAAAAGATTCATAGTTATATACTGAATTCAAGAGCATCAAAATCTATCATGACGTCATAACAACCACTCCAGCATGTCCGCGTGTAGCCTTATTCCAGCATGGACAGCCCTCAACCCAAAGGTCCGTCCGACCTCTACCGGCTGACCTCACTCGCTTCCGATGTGCGTATAAATATTACTATTATATAAAATTAGCACTATTTGTTACCAAGCCATAACCAACCATTATGTACGTCGAACTTAATGCATGTCATTTTTCTGCGCCGGAGTTCAGATGTTTAAACATGAGCTGTAATGAGAGGCGACTTTGATAGATATTAGAGGAAAACTGCTATTTGTTTCATAGTCAATAATGTTCTTGTGTATTGTTATTACGTTTTCCTACGTTAAGTAGTACCTTTATTCTGGCGAGCCTTTTAAGAGGGTAGATACCTAATTTTTATTTCAATGTACGGCAGGTAGATTATTTTAAATCATTAGACACGTATTTTTTATTTTCTTACAGAAACGAATACTTTCGACGATATTATATTGATTTAAAATGTCGCGTGACGTCACTTCTATGTACATTTTATACGTAGAAATGACGTTTTAGCTCGCACTCCTAAATTTTGATTCGTTTTATCTAAGTATTGTTTTATTATACGACAAAATAAAAAAATATGTGTCTAATATTTTTTCATTACCTAACTTATGGACTAATTAGATTTTTCATTTCCATACCCTGTCATCATCCCAATTCTGGATGGAGTCGAGAGAAACGTATTTACAGTAGCGTTTGTTTTCAAAGATTATAATGTGAATATACCAAGTCTATGAGTTTGCAGAGACTAACTAAATTTTATAGAGCGCAGAACTAAATAAGGAAACTTTAGCGTAAGTATAGTACTCTTTATCAGTCAGTGCAAAATTAATAATTTTAAACTAGATGAAGTGGGTGTTGAGTTAATCAACTAAATTTACATTAACACAGTCAAGTCCATGTTTAAAAATTACTAATCATATAAATATATAAATTACAAACTCTTATTTAGTTTTACAAAGTTCTACAAAACCAGTCCTTTTTCTAATTTAACATGTTAATATTTGTTATTATTTTTTTTCTCACAATTACTATAATTAAGTACAAGGAGGCACATGGGACGGCGTGATCTATCGGCAAATAAATAAACTAATGTCGAACTCGACTAATGCGGTACGAGGCGTCTCAACGGGTGGTCTTATTAATATTGAGAAAAATATATCGCCTACTTGGGGTAAACGTACTTGTAATGAGCCATCGATCGGTGTAATTTGTGTAAACTCAATAAGATATATTTTTGATCTGGTGAATAAAATTCATCGACAATAATATTACATTTAATTTGTACATACAATTTAAAACGTTTTCGGAAAAAATGTGTTATTTAAAATATATATCTGATAGTGAAATAAATTGTACAATTATACAGTTATATCCCAAACTAAACAACTTAACTACGCATGTTATCAAAGTTATCTGATGTAGCTGTGATTCTTGTTGCATGTTATTAAAAAATAATTCAATTTAATAAGCTTTCTTTTTGCATTATCAACTCTCCCTTGACGATAAGATTTGTTAATATCATCAAAAAATTATGATGGAGCTTAACATCAGATCAAATCAACATTTTCACCGCCAAAAACAAAAAGTCAGTACTAAGCCAATAACAGCGACATTTACCCTAAAAGTATTGCATCAATACCAACAATTAAAACGCGAATAAGCTCGGACAATAAAAAATTACTCGTTATAAATCAAGCGATGTAATTGGTTGTTTATATTGACCGGTCAACCGATGATGCTCTGGTTCGACCATTACGAGCAATTTGTCAAATGTTTCGACATTTGAAATTGTGCTCGAAATCGTGTGTGCTCGATATAAATGTTTATATATTAATTTTATTGTGTGGCTTTGTTTTTGTTTTAATAACGGTATTGTTAATGTGATGTGGACTGGTCCACATCACATTAACATCTGGCTTTTAATATCTGGCTATAAGTGTTTTTGTGCCGTAGATATCACAAGTAATATAATAACATAACATCACGCCTTTTATCCCCAAACGGGTATGCAGGGGTGCACATTACGGCACTTAATGCCACTGTAACATATAACATCCACGTATCACTAGTTTTAGTAGTATTATGAGTCCCATGTAATAGGGGGTTATGGCAATAGACTCACCATTGCCATATACCGGGCACAATTCCAGACTGTAATACTTTGCTTGACCAGGGATTCGAACCCAAGACCTCACTTGCGACAACTCGGTGAACGAGGCAGTCATAAGTGTTACAATAAAATTAAGCACGTGGCTTATTGCTCGGTTAAATCATTCAATGAAACCTTTTGCTGTTCGTGTTTATACTTAACGTATAGAGTCTTTGATTTTCTATCGCATCCAAAATTTTATCCTTACATGGAAACTTAAAATAAATAGAAGATCTCACGTGAATTATAGTGTTTCGGAATACAAAATGTTCACAACGATAAAAAAACCACAGCCTTTGTAAATAAACACACACGCGCCACGGGAACACGCAAAAAGCAACAACTCTAGAAACATGAATTCTTTACTTTTTCAAACGAACACACGAGTTTTTGCTCAATAAACTGACAATAAGTGAACATGGAATCGAACGTTGTACCGTGCAAAAACCAACTGAGCGTTTTGACCACTTCGCTTTGCCACAAAGTTTATGCGTGAAGATCGCAATACTGTTCGGGGTTACAAAAACGAGTGTACAAGAAGTTACGAAGCAATGAATGAGGAGGTTTAGAGGTTTTGCAAATAGTTTACCTTACTTCAATATTCTACATAACTTTGCCTTTGTAAGTTTGATGAACCTATGAAGTAGGAATTCATTCGTTGGGTTCTCAAAATGAGTAGGAGAAGGTTCTCAAATATAAAGTATTCAATCAAAGTCAATTTATTCACTCGGGATTTTATTATAAATAGAAATATACCTCTATAAATGAGATACGATATACTATAGATGAGGCAAATAAGTAGATAGCACACCTAATAAGCAATCAATGTAACCCATGAGTACTTTTCCCACAAACTTGATTCAGTTTCATAGCACTATAATGCTGACGGATTTATTCACCTTTGACAAATTAATATATTTTTGTAATCGAGCTGACAGATCACCTGATGGTACGCAATCGGCGTCGCCCATGGACACCTGGAACACTAGAGGAATTACAAGTGCGTCACCGGCCATTTGGGGATTAGGAATTTCATGTTTGTTGGGATTCAGGGATTGGGGAGATTGGAGAAGGGGGAGGGGTTATAGAGCCTTCGGAAACCTCACTCACACGACGCAAGCATTGTTTCACGTCAATGTTCTGTGAGGCCGTGGTATCACTCCGGTCGAGCCGGCCCATTCGTACCCAAGCATGACTGTCCCACACTTAAAAACAAACATAACAATTATACAAAATGTTCATAACTATTGGAGTTTCATCTAAAATGCTTCATGGCTCCGCAAACCCTCGACCCTCGTAACCACAGAGCTCAAATAGCGCACATTAGTAATGGCAGTGCGCGCGCGATCTGACGACCGCACGGTAATGCGCGGTAATCGCCACTTATAGAACTACCATCATTCTTTAACTCTACGTGGTAGGCAGGGCAAGAATAGATGTTGGATTTAACCTTGAGTTTGGAGACATGTCAAGTATTTTTTTATATGAGTAATTTGTCTGATATACGTATAATTCTGCTCCTGATAGACCACTACTAACTATTGGGCTATGAACACTATGGATCTCCTAACCACTGAGCTATAAACGCTATGGATCTCCTAACTACTGGGTATTAAACGCTATGGGTTTCCTAACTATTGGGCTATAAGCGCTTTGGGTCTTCATACTACTGGGCTATGACCGCTTTGGGTTTCCCCTATTAAAGAGGGTTTACCACTATCTTCACACTTGGGTTACTAGAGAGCTAATTCTCTCTTCTGCTATTGCTGTGTGGTCTATGTCAA